CGCCGTAGGAGCTTTTCGTCATCTGGCCGAGGCCTTCCGCTGGCTTACCGGTCCACCCCTTTAAAAATTATGGTCATAGTTATAACCATTTCTGGGTTTGACAAGAACCTGCCCAGTATGGGCCAGTAAACCTGCTGCAGTGCTCATCCTCCTTATATTTTTATGTAAATTTTTATCCAGTGATATATCAGTAATTGTGAAAAGATACCATAATTTATCTATTGTAAATAACTGAAAACCACTTAATCTCGTCTAAATTCAACCATATCTTGCTAAAATATTAATTATTTTATATTATTAACTAATTTAAGAACTAGTATAGTCTATAGTACTACGTTAAGTAAAACGTATAAGTAACTAACGTATAAGTAACTAACGTATAAGTAACTAACGGTTATAATAACCATGATTTTTAAAAGAGGTGGAGGGGTAAGCCAGTAGAAGGTCTCGGTCAGATGACCAAAAGTTCCAGCTGTGGGTCATCATATGGCTAATATCCGCCTCAGGAAACACTTGTCCTGTTTCCTGACAAACAATGTAACTCTTGCCTGTATAAGTAATTCACTATGATTGTAGCCGGATCATTAATTTTAAAATAATTCTTAATCTTTGAAATTGACTTTCCTATGAATTATATTAAATAATTTATATGTTAGTATGGTACTGAACTTTCAGTCTCCTGTTGTTTGGTGGAGGGTCGTAGATTGCTAATTTTTTTTTTTTTTAGATTTTTCTGGGGATAATTTCACTGGTGTGTATAGTGGAATTTAAAAAAAAAAGTCTGAGGGAGATATTTTCTTAAAAATTCAACTGTTTCGTAACCAGTAAGGCCATGACTTATTCCAATCTTCCTTGTGTATCTTTTCTCACACCGTGGTGAACTCTGGGAAAGATGACGTGTGAGAAAGAGAGAGAGAGAGAGAGAGAGAGAGAGAGAGAGAGAGAGAGAGAGAGAGAGAGAGAGAGGAGAGAGAGAGAGAGAGAGAGAGAGAGAGAGAGGAGGAGGAATTAGGAGTTCCCTTGCAAGTATCCGGGGGATAACCCATTGCCTGTTTTCTAGCCTCCGTATTGCGGGAAACCCACCTTTACTCCCAGTACTGCCACTAACACCACCATCACTATCACTAACATCAAGAACATTACCATCAACGCCAACACCACCACCAACCCAGTGACTGTTCTCTCCCGCACTCCTTCTTACACTGAAAGTTAACTCCCTTAATGTCGAAAAAAAAGTAAACTTTAGAGAATATAATGAAGGGGTAAGCCATCGGAAGGCCTCAGTCCAATGACCAAAAGCTCCAGTTGTGGGACATCACATAACTAAGACCCCGCATCAGGAAACACTTGTCCTGTTTCCTGACAACCTTATCTAACCATCATATGACTTAAGACCCTCGTCAGGAAACACTTGTCCTGTTTCCTGACAACCTTATCTAACCATCATATGACTTAAGACCCGCGTCAGGAAACACTTGTCCTGTTTCCTGACAACCTTATCTAACCATCATATGACTTATGACCCTCGTCAGGAAACACTTGTCCTGTTTTCTGACAACCTTATCTAACCATCATATGACTTAAGACCCTCGTCAGGAAACACTTGTCCTGTTTTCTGACAACCTTATCTAACCATCATATGACTTACGACCCGTGTCAGGAAACACTTGTCCTGTTTCCTGACAAACTTTACCTCACCTTGGTTTGTCGAAAGATTTAAGATCCGTGTCAGGGCTCTGTCCTGACGAGTATGATGAGAGACAATGCTTACTATGCTGAAAATGATGACTGATACACTAAAGAACTTGTTGGTTGCTAGGAATGTTACGCCTTGCTATGCTGAAAATGTTGAATTTGCTGAAGACAAGACATATTATGCTTGAGTCCAGGCTCGTTGGTGGTGCTTCCGGCCATGATAAAAGAGACTGATGATAGAAAAAAAAGGGTGACGATGCAGTTAGAATGAAATGAAAAAAAAAAATATCTCCACTGCGACCTTGACAAGTGTTTCCTGCACTCACGAACCAGCAACCAAGGAAGGGAAAGTGCGATACTGTTGATGATGCCACGGTGTTCTCCACCTAGGTGTTCGTATTCACGGTGTTCTCCACCTGGGTGTTCGTATTCATGGTGTTCTCCACCTAGGTGTTCGTATTCACGGTGTCCTCCACCTAGGTGTTCGTATTCACGGTGTCCTCCACCTAGGTGTTCGTATTCACGGTGTCCTCCACCTAGGTGTTCGTATTCACAGTGTCCTCCACCTAGGTGTTCGTATTCACGGTGTTCTCCACCTAGGTGTTCGTATTTACTGTGTTCGCGGCTTCAGGACTCCTGACAGTTTTCAGCGATTTTGGTGGTCACGACGGCCTTGTTTACATCTATCGTGGTCGCATCATTAGGGTTAACGAGTTCAGGACCGCAGAGGAACACATAAATACAAATAGACAAGTGACAGACGCAGGCAGACAGGTCTTGCCGCAGACAGACAGGTCTTAACACACACTGAGAGATCATTACCAGTAACTGTATAACTACGGGTATCACACTCGTAATAGCTTTAAGAAGCCTTGAATCTCAACCAATTGTCTCTCAGTGATGCTGCATTACACTGAGAGGTGTATATTTCAGTGTATATACACTGAGAGGTGTATCTCTCAGTGTACATACACTGAGAGGTCATTCTAATCCCTAGTTTAGTGATTAAGGTATTCTTGACCGGTTAAAGGCAGCTTTGACGACCCTTTGGAGTCGATAGGCTTTAAAATGCATTAACTAATCAACTTAATCAGTGATGTTCTTAGTCATGTTGGCAACATACTCGACACAACAAACACTCAGTCAACTCATCACCTGAAGAAAACACTATATATAACTCACTCAGCTCATTGAAAACACAACTAACTCATTAACCCAACGAAGACACTCAATCTATTTGTTAAACCACCCACACACTTATCTGTAATACAAATGGACCAAACTGGTTTAATATACACGATTTACCAATTATTATATTTTGTTTAGCCCAATTTCGTAAATGTTGAATAATTTACCATTATTCATCGTCACGAATCCTGAATGATGAAGTGAGACACCAGAGAGACAGAACATTGAAACATTTAAAAAAAAAAAAAGTGATCTGTATATTTCGACTTCGTAAGAGACCATCTTCATTGTCAGAACACTTATTGAAAAATCATAAATTCATACAATACAATAATATTAATCCTCAGAAAACCAAAAAATGTAGATCTATTCGTGGCAGTACACGAGAGTATGGGCGAGCACAAAGGAGTACATGGTATTACACTAAGGTACGTGGGAGTACATGGTATTACACTAAGGTACGTGGGAGTACATGGTATTACACTAAGGTACGTGGGAGTACATGGTATTACACTAAGGTACGTGGGAGTACATGGTATTACACTAAGGTACGTGGGAGTGCATGGTATTACACTAAGGTACGTGGGAGTACATGGTATTACACTAAGGTACGTGGGAGTACATGGTATTACACTAAGGTACGTGGGAGTACATGGGAATACATGATAGTACACAGGCGTACAAGGGAGAGACAGATGACAGAAGACGGAGGATATTACACTATAGAGGAACACTGTCTACCATCTATCCCCACTGAGAGCTATCTCCCATCATCTATATGTTTAAAGATAATAATGATATAATACCAGTTGAAAATATACTATAAATAAAGTTTGGGAAGTTTTTAAGAGATAAGAGCCAACTTTCTCCTCCCACTATGGGGTCAAAGATGAGGTCACGACCCTTGAGAAACCAGGTCATTGCCTAACACAGGAAATTTTTGTGTGTGTACACTCACGTATTCCACTGGCAATACGAGTATCGTCAGGACACAATGTGATACACGCAACCTCCAGGAAGCTGAGGTTACGGGATACTCCGGATACCATTTTCAAAGTATACTCCACCATTTTCAAAAATAAAATTAGTTGATAGAAAGGAGGATGACCATGAAAGATCGAGTAATAAACATGAAGAAGGAAGAGTGATAATAGAAAACAACAGCGATTTAAAGGAAGGATTCGCTGACGTAAGAGGAACAGCGCCAGAGAGCAAGGATGAAATGGATAATCAACACAAACTAGATAGAATTCATATACCAAAGGAGGAAATAAGAAAATTACTAAAAGACTAGGACACAACATATCACCATGGATACTGAAAGAAGGAACAGAAAACCTGTATGAACCTATAGCAAGGATTGACATCACATCAGACACTCAGTGCATAGTTTCCAAGGTAGTTATGATACAGGGCAAGAACCAATAATACTGGCGATTGCAATTTAATAGGAGAGGCCAGGAGATGAGCCTCACCCTTGCAAACAACTTGGAGAGTACAACCAGGAGAACACATAAACATACACAATAAAATAGTTTACCCAGTTCCCTTGTAATTTAAGATTATTATTATTATTATTATTATTATTATTATTATTATTATTATTATTATTATTATTATTATTATTATTATTATTATTATGGAAAGCGTTAAACCCCTAGGATCATACAGAGCCTGGAGAGAATGGAAGGTAAACCGGAAAGATTCAAGGAAGGAAAGGGAAGGTCAGTTTGATCGCGTATGTTACGATCAGGTCCCACCTGCCCGTCGGACAGGTAAAATATACAAGTCAACCTAAGGCTGTGACTGAGTTCAAGGGTGACAAGTTTAGGTTAATCACTCAGATTGGGAAAAAAAATAGTTGATTATAGTGTTATTTCGTCATTTAACTGGTTGAATGAAAGAAGTCTTGGTGTGAGGGCCTTGGAAAACGCTTTGGGATCAATTTTAGGTAATAGGCTTTGATGACTAGTGCATTGTCTGATGACTGACTTCAGTTCAAGTGATAGTCTTGGATGATGAGTGCATTGTCTGCTGTGTGACTTTATGACGCTCAGGTGAATCGGTCAGGTGAACCTGGCAACCCTCTCACCTTGTGGCCAGGACGACCCCCACAGCCTCAGTAGCTCTCCACCTACCTAGGTGACAAGGTGTGTGCTGCTCACCTATCTACGTAGTCTGGTGCTGCACCTATCATCGTAACCTAGTGCCAGTTTGCAGCTCCCGAGGTGAGACTGTGTGCTATCTGAGGATATTCACATGTGAGCGTTAAATTCGTTAAAATCATAGTGTCTAGAAGTAAAAGGGTTTGATCCGAGGAAGACAAGGGCAGTTCCAATTCCTGGGATCAAGAACCCTTTACCTGTATCATGGCACCACCTTGAAGGATCTGTCTGCAAGATACAAACATGGCAATCAAGTTAATAGTCATTTATTATTGATCCTTTGGTCCTCTCCTAGGAGGCTATCACCTAGGTACCTATTTTCCCACTAGGTGAACAGAGGCTGTAGGTATTAGGTGACTCGTCCCCGTCCTTCGGGTGTGAGCCAGGTGAATTTTCATTGACCCACGAGAATATTCATTGGCGAGCAGACAACCTTGGGATTGCTAGATGTAATTAATGCTGAGGTGATTAGTAATGTCGGGTCGAAACAGACAGAATACATAATGAACGTTGATAAGCTTAATTATTCAAGGTGTGTGGCAGAGTTATAGGTTAGGATACTTTTCTAGGGGAAGAGGGGGACTTGATGCTGGTGAAGGGATCATGATCCATGGAATTAGAGCTACCCTGAGCCTTCCTTGAGAAAAAATGTGACTGCTTTACTTTCTCAGGAGTTTCCCCTTGAATATAATAATAATAATTTGGTTTGGCTAAGTTAGTCATTAAATCTTGAAGTTAATCGAATCCTAAAATTATTAAGGCTATAATAACCAATAATAGTTTATTGTTTATTTTCAAATATAAAGGTATTAAATTTAAAGCTAAAATATTTTTGTTTTCTTTTTTACGTTTTGTTAATTTACATAATGTTCTCTTATACACTTTTTCTCCCTCATCCATTCAACAAAGTGGGTAATTTAAGGTAGCCCTATTTTTGATCGACACCATGCCTAACCCTTCTAGGGTAGGGTAGGTGCCTGAGCCCGAGCCTTTAGCTCACAAGACTGTCATTCCCGGTACCCCCCTTGGGGCGGGGATGGCAGACCAGAGAGGCCTAGCTTGTGGCTAGGCCTGGGGACAGTTGGTTCCAAAGATGAGGAGGTACTTGTGCCTCCTCCCATGGGAGACTTAGGTCTCAGACACTCCCTAAAGAGGGAGCCAAGGCCGGGCCACCACTTGGAAAAGGCCCGGGCCGGGAGAATACCGGCTAAAACTTTAATAATAATAAGTAGCCCTATTTTGATCGACACCATGCCTAACCCTTCTAGGGTAGGGTAGGTGCCTGAGCCCGAGCTTACAGCTCACAAGACTGTCATTCCCATTAGCCCCCTTGTGGCGGGGATGGCAGACCAGAGAGGCCTAGCTTGTGGCTAGGCCTGGGGACAGTTGGTCCCAAAGATGAGGAGGGTACTTGTGCCTCCTCCCATGGGGAGCTTAGGTCTCAGACACTCCCTAAAGAGGGAGCCAAGGCCGGGCCACCACTTGGACAAGGCCCGGGCCGGGAGAATACCGGCTAATCTTTAACTAACTAGCCCTATTGGATCGATACCATGCCTAACCCTTCTAGGGTAGGGTAGGTGCCTGAGCCCGAGCCTTTAGCTCATAAGACTGTCATTCCCATTTGCCCCCTTGGGGTGGGGATGGCAGACCAGGGAGGCCTAGCTTGTGGCTAGGCCTGGGGACAGTTGGTCCCAAAGATGAGGAGGTCCTTGTGCCTCCTCCCATGGGAGACTTAGGTCTCAGACACTCCCTAAAGAGGGAGCCAAGGCCGGGCCACCACTTGGAAAAGGCCCGGGCAGGGAGAATACCGGCTAATCTTGAATAATAATAATAATAGCCCTATTGATCGATACCATGCCTAACCCTTCTAGGGTAGGGTAGGTGCCTGAGCCCGAGCCTTTAGCTCATAAAACTGTCATTCCCATTAGCCCCCTTGGGGCGGGGATGGCAGACCAGAGAGGCCTAGCTTGTGGCTAGGCCTGGGGACAGTTGGTCCCAAAGATGAGGAGGTACTTGTACCTCCTCCCATGGCAGACTTAGGTCTCAGACACTCCCTAAAGACGGAGCCAAGGCCGGGCCACCACTTGGAAAAGGCCCGGGCCGGGAGAATACCGGCTAATATTTAATAATAATAAATAATAATAGTCCCTTAGGGCGAGCCCCGTTAGGGCGGGGAATGTGGCTAGGCCTGGGGACAGTTGGTCCCAAAGTTGAGGGGGTGCTTGCACCTCCTCCCATGGGAGACTTAGGTCTCGAGATACTCCCCAGATAGGGAGCCAAGGCCGGGTCACCACTACTTGGAAAAGACCCGGGCCGGGAGATTACCGGAGAATAAAAGAAAAATAGCCCCCTTGGGGCGGGGATGGCACACCAGAGAGGCCTAGCTTATGGCTAGGCCTGGGGACAGTTGATACCAAGGATGAGGAGGTACTTGTGTCTCCTCCCATGGCAGACTTAGGTCTCAGACACTCCCTAGAGAGGGAGCCAAGGCCGGGTCACCACTACTTGGAAAAGACTCGGGCCGGGAGAATACCGGCTAATCTTTAATAATAATACTTATTTCCTGACGAACCTTACCTAACCTAACCTAAGGGGTCAATAAGGTCGCTATAAAAATGATGGGACACGAGTGATCATAACTAATTATTAACTTCCTGGCAACGTTCAGTTGCCATAACTGAAACTGGGGCGAGATTAGCATGTTAATTGTTCTTGGGGTGACTGTCCTACACGGGGCAGACAGGATTTTCCTAAATTATACTTCTCCCTCAATTGGTGAATTATTTTCCTTATTATTATAATTATTTTATAATTATATAATATTGAGGAGGCTCTAGGATTCTTAAAAACAGAATAAATGGTTGTAACTGACAATAATTTTTAAAGGGGTGGAGGAGTAAGCCAGTGGAAGGCCTCGGTCAGATGACCAAAAGCTCCAGCTGTGGGTCATCACCTAAGACCCGCGTCAGGAAACAATTATCCTGTTTAGTGACAAACCTTACCTAACCTAACCTGGTGAGGCTCTAAACTCGTATGGTCATACAAGAGCCAGGAGGTAGTCTCAATGAAGCCAACGGGAAAGTAGCTCCAATTCCTTGAATCAAGAGCCCTTCAGTGACATCAAGGCACTTTCTCCAAAACAAAGGCTGACTTACTGAAAAAAAAAAAAATCTTCAATATTCGTTTTTTCTCAGTTAAATAAAAAGTTAAGTAAGACTTGTTAGGAAACAGGACTAGTGTTTCCTGACCCACAGCTGGAACTTTTGGTCATCTGACCGAAGCCTTCTACTGGCTTACCTCTCCACCCCTTTAAAAATTATTTTTTTAATTAAATAATCATCAATAATTTTATTATAGCAACTTAAGGCCCAAAAAAATATTAGTTTCTGTTCTTATATCCTAACCTTGTGTATTCTCTCTGAATGATCAATACAAATGTAGTTTTTAATAATAATAATAATAATAATAATAATAATAATAATAATAATAATAATAATGCTCATAGCAAATTCGTTACTTGTAATTAGCATACAAAAAATAATCAATGATCATGCTTTGTTATATGACCTTAAAGTTCCTCCCTCATTATACACAGTGTATGTAATGGGGATGAGGGAGCAGGGAGATGAGGGAGCAGGGAGATGAGGAAGTATGGAGATGATGAAACAGGGAGATGAGGGAGCAAGGTGATGAGGGAGCAGGGAGATGATGAAACAGGGAGATGAGGGAGCAAGGTGATGAGGGAGCAGGGAGATGATGAAACAGGGAGATGAGGGGGCAAGGTGATGAGAGAGCAAGGTGATGAGGGGGCCAGGTGATGAGAGAGCAAGGTGATGAGGGGGCCAGGTGATGAGAGAGCAAGGTGATGAGGGGGCCAGGTGATGAGAGAGCAAGGTGATGAGGGGGCCAGGTGATGAGAGAGCAAGGTGATGAGGGGGCCAGGTGATAAGAGAGCAAGGTGATGAGGGGGCCAGGTGATGAGAGAGCAAGGTGATGAGGGGGCCAGGTGATGAGAGAGCAAGGTGCTGAGGGGGCAGGTGATGAGAGAGCAAGGTGCTGAGGGGGCCAGGTGATGAGAGAGCAAGGTGCTGAGGGGGCCAGGTGATGAGAGAGGAAGGTGATGAGGGGGCCAGGTGATGAGAGAGCAAGGTGCTGAGGGGGCCAGGTGATGAGAGAGCAAGGTGCTGAGGGGGCCAGGTGATGAGAGAGGAAGGTGATGAGGGGGCCAGGTGATGAGAGAGCAAGGTGCTGAGGGGGGCCAGGTGATGAGAGAGCAGGTGCTGAGGGGGCCAGGTGATGAGAGAGCAAGGTGCTGAGGGGGCCAGGTGATGAGAGAGCAAGGTGCTGAGGGGGCCAGGTGATGAGAGAGCAAGGTGCTGAGGGGGCCAGGTGATGAGAGAGCAAGGTGATGAGGGGGCCAGGTGATGAGAGAGCAAGGTGATGAGGGGGCCAGGTGATGAGAGAGCAAGGTGATGAGGGGGCCAGGTGATGAGAGAGCAAGGTGATGAGGGGGCCAGGTGATGAGAGAGCAAGGTGATGAGGGGGCCAGGTGTTGAGAGAGCAAGGTGATGAGGGGGCCAGGTGATGAGAGAGCAAGGTGATGAGGGGGCCAGGTGATGAGAGAGCAAGGTGCTGAGGGGGCCAGGTGATGAGAGAGCAAGGTGATGAGGGGGCCAGGTGATGAGAGAGCAAGGTGCTGAGGGGGCCAGGTGATGAGAGAGCAAGGTGCTGAGGGGGCCAGGTGATGAGAGAGCAAGGTGCTGAGGGGGCCAGGTGATGAGAGAGCAAGGTGATGAGGGGGCCAGGTGATGAGAGAGCAAGGTGATGAGGGGGCCAGGTGATGAGAGAGCAAGGTGATGAGGGGGCCAGGTGATGAGAGAGCAAGGTGCTGAGGGGGCCAGGTGATGAGAGAGCAAGGTGCTGAGGGGGCCAGGTGATGAGAGACCAAGGTGCTGAGGGGGCCAGGTGATGAGAGGCAAGGTGCTGAGGGGGCCAGGTGATGAGAGAGCAAGGTGATGAGGGGCCAGGTGATGAGAGAGCAAGGTGATGAGGGGGCCAGGTGA